GTGGGTTGTATGTGCTCTCACCTGGATGTGGGGGTGTCCCTGCTGACTCTTCCTGTATCTGTGCAGGTGGGCTCACAGCAGCTCTTACTGATGCCCCCTGGAGTGAGCTTCAGGCAGGGATGAAGGGATGAGTGTCCCCAATAACAGCTCTATGCACATCACACATAGGAAGTGACTTACCCCTTCTACTGTCTTCCAAGTCTTTTTCATTAGCTGAGAGTTTTCTGTTAAGGAAAACAAAGTTCGTTTGGTTTGTTAGTTAGTTTGTTTGTTTTCTGTCCTGATTCCCAAACAGAGGGCAAGAAGAACCAAAAAAGATCCTCTTAAGAAAAAAAACAGACCCTTAGGGGTGTTCAAGGCTAGGCAGCTTCTGGAATGGAGAATCCACTATGGCAGATGCACATCAAGGAGTTGGATTCCCACATGGATGGGCTGCTCTGACCCAAAGGGCAGATGCTGTGGGCCCAAGCTGTGGCCAGGCTGGAGCACTCAGAGCTGGTAGGACAACACAGGTAGGAGCTCACTGTTATCTGCTGGGGTTCCACATCCCACTGGAAATCAGGGGGCCAGCATTTGTGCAGGAACTGCGTATGCTGTCAGTTATGCTGTATGATTCCAAGGAGGAAAAAAAAAAGGAAAAAAAATACAAAAATGAAATAAAAAATGAAAGCTGAAGATCCAGCCCAGGCGGGTCACTAGACAAGGCCCATTAGTGCAGGGAGAGGGCACAGATACAATGGTAGAATGGCAGATTAGTTCTCTTTGTTCTGTCCCACAAACCTTACAGCTGAAACTTGAGGACTGTCAAATCCTTTTAAAGCTTTTCCAACCACCCTGAAGTTCCACTATTAGTAGCTATTATGTACTTACCATTTGTATTTTGAATAATAAAGTCTAAATTGTAACTGTTCACAGAATATCAAATGCAATTGAAATGGCACTGTTGTTCTTTTCTTATTTCTCCTATTGAAGCCCATTTTGGACAACTTGCTTCTTCGCCCACTCGCCTGTGCAGAATCTCAGAGCTGGTTAAAGCATATGCTAATTGCAGGCTCTGATCTGAAATAATGTGCGTGAAAGCACTGTTCTCATGGTGGTGGCAGCTAATGCCATATCATACTCCTGACCTTGGGGAAATCAGGCCTTGGTATCACTGGAAGATTATTTCCACTTCCCAGTTCCTGCCCCCTGAATTTTAATTTGGCTTAAGTTGGCAGATGAATTTAAAATGTGGTTGTAGTTTCTGGTTTAGATGTGCAAAGTTGTTTAGAAATCTGGCGTGCCTGTGCCAGGCAAGAGGAGCCCAAAAGCCTCTGCACGGCTGCCGAGGGCTGGGCAGCTCCAGCAGTGCTGGGTGAGCCGGGTTCGGCTGGGACAGCACGGAGGGAAGAGACTGGGGCCGAAGCTCTTGCCCTCCACAGGCAAACCCGAGCTGGGCTATAACCCATGAGCGACCCACACACAGCCCAGCTGTGCACATTGGGCAGCACAAGCAGTGTAAGGCTTGGTAATAAGTATTTCAGGGCCTCAGCTGTACCTTCTGGACCCTGAAAGCAAAGGAGGGGTTCTGCAGCTCCCCAGTTCCAAAGGTTCTGCTGCTGGTGTATCTGCTCTGTTATTAATTCTTTTGTCCAGAGGGCATCCAGCCCTCCAGGAAAGAAAGAGACCCTCTGACATTTAAGAGTAAGGCACAACAAGGAAAGATAATTAATGCCTTTAATACCTCCAGCCTACAAAGTCTCTGACGAGACAGGCAGGTAACTGGAATTTTGTCCAAGAAAAACAAGCAGAAAACTGTAATAACTTTATTCCACAATACAGCCATTCCTGCTCCTAAAGTGTTTTCTGACATGTAAAAAACAGACAAGCATCAATCAGAGACTTGTCTAATGACACAGAACACATGGGACTGGCAGCTCCATTGGGTGTCCAGGGGCAGGAGAGGCTGATCAGGATTATTGCTGTGTAAGGAATCAGGTCTTAAATCCTCAGCCATTGAGTGCCTGAGTCTTTCAGGAGATTCTAGCACATACATGTAGTTAGACAATTTGCACCTGGAGAATGCATGCCTTGGATTTTGCTGGAAATGTGATTAGGCTAAACTTGTAGCTTTCCTTTTCTGAGCTTGCAGCTCTAAAGCCAGAGATGATATGTACCAGGCAGGAACACTATGGGAGGATAATGAAATGGCTCTTCAGATACACAACAGTCTTACAGCTGCAGTGAGAATGGCTTCAGGGGAAATAAATAAAAAAAAAGCATAAGCCTCCCAGATCACCTTGCTATTGCGATAATAAATGTCAAGTGTGTCCTTCCTGCAGCCCTCGGGCAAGAAACCCCAGAGACCAAACGCAAGGCTCATTCTGCTTCTGCTGAAAGCAACTGGGGTTCTGACACAGCCATGAACCAGGGTAGCTCCTAGACCTGGGCATTCATAAATACGAAATTCTGAGCAAAGAGCCAGTTCCTTGGAGAAACGCATACCAAATATACAAATCTTTCCTCCTGCAGAAGGAATTCTTTTCTCTGCCTGGGCTCTTTTGCTGCTGCTTACCGAGAGGATCTTCACTGGTCTTTCCAAGAGCCTCTGGCTGATGCAGTGTGAGCTGGGATGCCTACTCTGCTCCATGGCAAACAGACCCCAAAGTGGGAAAAGGCCAGCCTTTAAACTCTCATCAACAGTTTATTTGCCCTGATAGAGGTTACAAATGCCACAGACTAGGGCAGACATCAGGGCTCTTGTGAATGACATTTTAAAGTGCATTATTAATTGGAATCAGCAATAATTAGATAATTTGGAAAATAGAAGCGCTGTTATTATTGGAACAAACAGGATGACCAGACTTTCTTATTGAACTGGATTGGGTTGTTAAACCTTGGACTTACAATTAATGTGAATTCTTGGCTCCACACATCAATGTGGGACCTTCTTAACCGGACACAGAATATGGAGTCTGGCAAGAGACATGTTCTCTGTGTCCTGTGTCCCTCCAAAGCATTCCCCATCCTGTAGCTGCTCCCATACTTTTGTCCTGCATGACATGGCCACAGAGGTGCTAGTCAAGACACGGACAGTGGGAACAGAACCATGGATGGGGGCAGGAGATCATGGATGAGAAAATACCCTTCTTTCTTCCTTTTTTTTTTCTATTTCCTTTTTTTTTTTTTTTTTTTTTTTTAATAAAGAATGACACATGCGGGATGTAAAATGAGAGGGTTGATAATATCTAGTTTAAAAATATGCTGTCTAGAATCTTTGAAACCTTAACTGCCTTTATTTTCATGTTTCTGTGTCAGCATCTGCCAAGAGGGATCCAGCCGTGGGAAAAATACTTGTCAAAGAACAAGCGTTGAGACTCCACCGGGAGATTCGGGTCGGGAGAGGTTTGTGAAGATGGTGTTCCCCTTCTGCCGTTAGCGCACTGCCGGGGCCTCTGCAAGTACGGATGCCCCGTGCCCCGCTCGCGGTGATGGGCGCTGTTCTCCGCGCTGGCCCCGCACGCGGGTGTGCGGGGAGGAGAGCTGGGACCCCTCGGGGGCCACTCTGGGAGTGCCCGCGGGGAGGTTCCGGGCGGGCAGACTCGGTACCGGCGGGTGCGGGCGGGCGGGAAACCGCGGCACTAATTAACCCCCGGTAATAACTCCCGGCACCGGCGGGGGCTGGGGGGCGGTGCCCGCGCTTTTCATGAATGGAGCGGCCCCGCCCCGAGCGGCGGCGCGTGCGGTGTGTGCGGTGCGGGGTGTGTGCCGTGCGGGGTGTGTGCCGTGCGGGGTGTGTGCGGGGTGTGTGCGGTGTGTGCGGTACGCGGTGTGGGGTGTGTGCGGTGTGTGCGGTACGCGGTGTGGGGTGTGTGCGGTGTGTTTGTGGTGTGCGGTGTGCGCGGTGTGGGGTGTGTGCGGTATGTTTGTGGTGCGCAGTGTGTGCGGTGTGTGTGCGGTGTGTGCGGTATGCGGTGTGGGGTGTGTGCGGTACACTGGTGTGGTGTGTGTGGTGTGCGGGGTGTGCGGGGTGTGCGCGGTGTGCAGTGTGTGCGGGGTGTGCAGGGTGTGTGCGGTGTGGGGTGTGTGCGGTACGCGGTGTGGGGTGTGCGGGGTGTGTGCGGTGTGCAGTGTGTGCGGGGTGTGCGGGGTGTGGTGTGTGCGGGGTGTGCAGGGTGTGTGCGGTGTGTGCGGGGTGTGCGTGTTGTGTGCGGTGTGTGCGGGGTGTGCAGGGTGTGTGCGGTGTGTGTGGTGTGCGTGTTGTGTGCGGTGTGGGATGTGTGTGGTGCAGGGGGTGCGGGGAGCTGGAGGAGCCACTGCTGCAGCAGCAACGAGCAGATGGTGGGAGGCAAGTGAGAAGGGTGAGGGTAAGGGGTAAGAGTTAGGGAGGGGACTAAGGGTAAGCGAGGGGAGTTGGATTTCCTCTTGTCGTTGGGGTTTGCGGGGAACCGTTGTTTAATGCGTGCTGTAATGCACATCATATATGGATTTATCCAGTCCAGGGAGTGAAGCATTGGTTTCTATTCAGAATTCGCACTGTTGCTGGAAAGATGTCTTCAAATTTGTTAGAGTGAAAGGTGACTGTTTCTGCATTGGCAAGAAATTCCTGCAGCAGCAGCACGGGGTGGTCTGGCAGCCTGCTTGAGGCTGGAGGAGCTGAGAGAAGCTGAACCAAAGTAGACTTTTCTTCCTGGTCCTTCAGGTTATACCGAAGTTATAAAAACTGAGAGGAAGACTCTCTAATTGCATGAAACTGCAGTATTTCAGCTCATCAGGATAACCTGTGTTTAAACTCACTTTTCCTCAGGGAAAGAGTCAAGTCATCTCTGGGGTCTTGTCTGGGGCAGCAGCCAATGCCGACTGGTTCTACAGTTACTGAAAGTCGCATTTTACAGGGTCTAGAAAGGTCTGAGAAGAAATGTCATGTTAGAAAATTAGGTTGTAGCTACAGCATCTTAAGCTCATCTGTTCTCTTTGGGCATTTGTTCCTACAGCCTTCCCTGAAAAAAGCAAGGCTCAGTCATGCTGTGGTTCAGGTCAGGAGAATGACGTTGGATTAAAACAACTTCAAACCCCACCTGAGATTTTCTCACATTTGCTATATGTCATGACTAGTTCTTCTTTCCAGCTTGCCTGTGGAACTCTTGCTCTTCCTGATATAAGAAGATGCTGAGAGTGTGAAGTCCCAAACCAAGCCCTTTCTGAGATGCCACTGAATTGTCTTGCCAGTGCCAGGAAACCTCTGCGCCCAGGAAACCTATTATACCTCAGAGGCTCCCTCAGCTTTCTATTTTAGGGTGATGTTTGCAATGGCAGCCACATCTTCACCGTCTCCTGGAAAACCAAGGAGCTGAAGCTGATGGATCACATGCTGTCAGCTGGAGCCGTGATCCCAGTGACCTCAAGCAGAGGAAAGACTGGGGCTGACCCACCATGCCTTGCTTGCTTCTTCAGCCGTACAGGTCACAGGTGATGAGATTGCTTGAGGAGTTTGACCATTACTCTTCCCTAACCCAACTCATGTCCACCTACCAAGCAACCAACAGGACCATCTTCAACTGGACAGACAGCCATGTTACTGAGTGGGAGAAATTTGCCGAGCTGGCTAAATATGAGACAGAATCCCAGAAACCAACCATGAAAGCTCTCCTAATTGTGGCGTACTCGGTCGTTATTGTCATGTCTCTCTTTGGGAACGTACTGGTGTGCCATGTGGTGCTGAAGAACAAGAGGATGCACTCAGCCACCAGCCTCTTCATCGTCAACCTGGCTGTGTCTGACATCATGATCACGCTGCTCAACACACCTTTCACTCTAGTAAGTGGCTGGCTGTGCTATCACTTCAGCCAGGAGGGAAGTTTCCCACCCTCTAGAACTCTGCCTGGTGGTTACAGTCTCTCTGTGCATACTCTCCTAGGGCTGAGGTGGGAACCCAACACCACCGAGTCTAATAGACAACTCTACCAGGCAAGTAGAACACTGGTCAGAAACCTGTGGGGTCCCTTTGCTCTGTTAGTCTCTATCTCCTAGAGACTCTTAAGTCTTTTCATGTGTGCCACCAAACCCCAGCAAGAGCCTCTCAGGGAATGAGAAAAGGTACTTGGTAAACACGTGCTTTAAATGTTCACGCAGGAGAGCACTAGAGAGTCCCTTAGTAGGTCAGAACAGCCCAAATGCCAGTCATACTAGGTGACTGGAAGAAAGTAGCTGAGCTTTTCAGAGCTGCCAGTTGGGTAAAGGCTTCAGTGAAAGCTCTCCAGACCTGACAGTGGGGTTGATACCAAACCTTGGTGCACTTTTTCCAAATACAGTTGTTAATGCAATAAAAAGTTATTACCACTGTTCACACACAATGTCTGTAGAACAGTCCAGGAGGGCTGCAGCAGCACCACTCCATAATCTGTGGGGTTTGACCTTCTAAATTCTTCTGTAAAGGTGTTTCAGAGCCCAGCATAGCTGATCTTTCTTTGTGTTTCAGGTGAAGGTGCCCTACCAGCCAGAACCCCCGAGCCAGCTCAGGTGCCACCCAAGGGATTTCCCCATGGATTTGTTTTCAGCACATTTTCTGACTGATGAGTTGTTGTTTCCCCTCAGGTCCGGTTTGTGAACAGCACGTGGATCTTTGGAAAGGCCATGTGCCACATCAGCCGCTTCGTGCAGTACTGCTCCCTCCACGTCTCCACACTGACCCTGACAGCCATCGCTCTTGACAGGCACCAGGTGACACCACCCACCCCCTCTTCTCTTCCAAGACCTTCCCAAACCCCCCTTAATCTTAGTTGAGCCACAGGCCCAAGGTGGATGAATTTGGGGATTCAACCCATCTCCAGTAAGAAGGCTCTAGAGCTTAGAGCCACCCCTCGTGTGCCAGGGACTGGAAGGCTTGATGGATTTCTGTGGGTTCTCAGATACGGGGCAGAAGGGAAGGAACAAAATGCGGCATCATGGGTTTCACAGGGTGCTCTCGGATTTCCAGCTAAAAAGAGTGAGGACACCTTTTCTGCACAGTCTGAAGAGAGCTTGGTCCAGCCTAGCCACAAGTATGGCAGGGCAACTGATTCCAGAGGCTTCATCCTATGGTGCGGGCCCTGGAAAGGCAGAGAGCTGGCACTGAGCATCAAGTGCTACTTCAGCTGTGCAGAAACTTCTTCAAGGTATTTGGTTTAACACCCGAAGCCCATAGAACAGCAGTGTGAGGCATCAGCAGCTCAGATTGTGATTTAGTTGTCTGTTTGTTCTTTTCTTTCCCCATTGGGCATTTGCTGTGTCATCAAGCTGCAGGGCAGTTGGAGTTAAATTCTTAGACCAGTGTCCTGTGGTGGAGCTATGGGGTTGATGCTGGCTCAGTACAAAGGGGAATGGCAGAAGTGAAATCTCTGATGGAAATACTGGGAGGAGACTTGAGCTGTGAGAAGGTTGTGCTCACTGTCTGTCCATGGCCATGACAAATGCCATCTGTGAGGCCAGTGCAGGGCAGTGAGGGCAGCCTGGGCCATGTGCTTGTCCCTCATAATCACTCCCCTCTCTTGTGCCATCGTCAAATAGTGACTTTTAGACTATCAGATTTTATAAGCTTAAAGATCTAACAGTGAAAATTTCATGAAAGGTGAGTTACTGCCTCAGCAGAGGGGAGGAGGGCTCAGTTTCACAGGCCCAGCCAGAACAGGAGACATTTTTTATGTAGTTCATACAGAATAAACAAACATACCCTGGAGTAAAGGCACTTGTGTAGATACATTCTTTTTTTCTGCCTTAATGTAACTCCCAATTTAAGGAAAATGATTCTCACAGAAAAAGATAAAATTTTGAAGTTCTGAGCAGACTGAGAAACTCTAAGTTTCCCATTTTCCAGGTCACTCTAATGAGCAGGACATTTTCCTAATCATGGCTGTCATTTTCACATCATTAACTGCATTAGGTTGTGTCACAAAGTGCCTCTGCCGTGTGGGCTGGGAGGTGCTCTGCGTCCCTGTGGGAGAGGATTCACGGGGAGTCTCTATTGCAGGTCATCCTGAACCCGCTGAAGCAGAGGATGTCCCTGACAAAGGGAGTGCTGAGCATCTCTGTTATCTGGCTGATGGCAACCTGTTTCTCCCTGCCCCATGCTGTCTACCAAAAGCTTTTCCAGTATAACTACAGGTGAGCGATCTCCCCTTCCCAGTGAGAGGTCTGGTGGCCCCTGTGCAGTGCCACTCAGCAGGGAGGGTGCTGGAGGCTCCCAGGCGTGGGGAAGGGTGCTGTGGGATCAGAGTCAGTGTGTGGGGGAGATCCCACCTCCTGCAGCAAAGGCTGTGCAAATGCTGCCTGGCCTGTCGGGGGGCACACACAGCCCCAGGTCCTGGGTTTGCTCTCACCACCTACCACACGCCCGGACTGGGGCAGCTCCAGGTGCAGCTATGGCCCTGCCAGGAGGGATTCTGTCCAGAGAAAGTAATTTTCTCCTGAGGGCCTTTCCTCTTCCCTCCTCATGCCTGCTCAGCTCCTCAGACCCAACAAGACCAAGTCCAGACAACTTGCTCATGCAGGGAGGAGAGAGAGAGCCAAACTGCAGTTTGGAAAAGTAAGAAAATAAACCTCATGGTGGGAACACCCGGTACTGACATCAACAAGGCTCTGCAGGAAGAGGGGACTGCCCTGGTTTGTCAGCAGGACCACCTACCCCTTGTCCCCAGGACTTCATATATTGAGTTACATGTGACTTCCCTGTATTTCATCCATGTGGATTTATGAATCAGGACCAGCCTTCCTTGAAACTTGAGGCTCCTCTGCCCAATGTTACACACACAATGAGAAAAGCAAAGCAAAGCCCTCACCCCCTCCTCTGAGGCTGAGCAGTGCAGGGCTGGGGGGAACCAGTGCGGGGCTGGGGGGATACCTGTGCAAGGCAACTCAGGGAATCAGTGCTTGGGCAGGAACCAGAGCTGTCCTGCTGTGCCATGGTGCCTCCCCACAAGGAAAAGGAACTCTTTGCTTGGCTGAACATGGTGACAGGAGCTATTAAAAGGAGATGACTTAGAATTTCACACCCACATGAGGACTGCTGAAATGTCAGAATGAGTTGAAGGTTCTGATCTAGAGAGGAAAAAAAGAAAAAGTTTTTTAAAAAAAAGCAGCTTCCCACAAATGGCTCAGGGATGGTATTTGTTGCTGCTGTCACCCTCTGCCAGGGAGAAACACAAAACCAGAGCTTTGAGGTTTCTTTGTGCAGTTCCTCAGTGGTACCCAAACTGTTCTGTCAGGCAGCAGGAGTGAGATTTCTATTGTAGACATTGACCTTCCATATTAGGGACAAATATTGTTTCCTACAGCCCAGCCAGGTCCCTCCCGTCGGCATGGCGGGAGAGCAGGAGTGCCTGCACAGGCTGTCACTGCTCTTGGGGTACGAGGGGCTGCACCAGCTGGGAGTGTGAACAGGGCTTCACAGACCTCCCCTGCCTGTGCTTGTGCCTGATGTGACTGAGATAGCCAGGGGACATCATACATCCAACTGCCCAGACTGTAAACACGGGGCAGGGTTTCTCTGTGCTCACGTTGCTCCACAGCTGTGCTCGGGGATTAGGGAACAAATTGCTCATGAATGAACAAACGCCATGATCTGTTTCTGGGCACCTGTCTCTGCTCATCCTTTGGCACAGCCAGAGGAAATCGAGCCCCACATTGGCATGAGGCAGCTCAGCGATATAAGGACTTCCAGGACATGCTATTCCTGTACCTGCTTTCCAGTGAAAAAAAATCCCAGTCGTAATATTGCTTATAATAGCTCCTGAGATTCTCACCAGAGAGCGGCTGGGATTCTGGGATGAGGAAAAGGGGCTCCACCAGCATTCATCCCTCTGGCTGCACTGCACAGCAGAGTGTCTGAATTCCTGGTCAGATCAGATTTCACCAAAACAGTGTCTTGTATGGCCAGCTTTGGCAAGTCCCCTTTGGCAGGCAGGCTGGCAGCTGGCCTCATTTGTGCCAGTGGTGAGCCACATCTGTTGAGGAAAAGTTAAGACTGAAGTTCAGAAAGGATGATTTTCCCTCCTGCATCAGTCGCACTCTCAAGCAGCCTCTCCAGGTCCTCCATGCTTGGCTCATAGAGCTCAGCTCCCGCACCTATTGACACCCCTCTGACCTCAGCCCCTGCTCCAGCTGCCTGTTCTCAACAGTCTTCTATTTGTGGCACAAAAGACAGCTCCAATGGTTGGAAGCAGGATATTAAAGATATTAATCAATACTGCAATGAATAATGCAACTTGATGGGGACTAAAGTCTGTGCTGAATAGAGAGCAGAGGACAAAGACTGAAGAGAGAAGGGTAAAATGAATAAGTGAAAGAAAAAGAAGGGGAAAAGGAAAGGGAGAAAACATCCACTGGAAGTAAATGTGCAAGTGCTCTTTTCTCCTAATGTTCCGTCACCTCCAGTCACCATCTGTGGGGTGTGGAGGGAACACGCGGTGCTGCAGAGGGTGCTGGGACTGAGAGCCACTGCAGGGCAGTGGGAACATACCAGGACCCCAGGCTGGACAGGATGGGTGTAAGAGGTTGTTAAAATGAGCTGTTGCACATAGTTACACTTGGTTCTTCTGTTAGTTAATTGTCAGAGGTTCAACTGGAGCCAAATTGCTAATCATCACACCTGTTTTAAGAGGTAGCAGTAAGGTTTTAGCAGCTGATGGCAAGGGAATGGTGGGTAGGGCAGGGAAGGAAGATGGGTTGTTTGTGCCTGTGAAGCTTTCTCACAGCTCCCAGCCTCCAGCAGCCCCTTCCCTCCTCTCCAAAACAACCTTGGCTTCTCACTGCTGCAGCAGTTTCTGCTCTGGCTGAGGGGTCCTGTGCTAGAGAGGCACGGCGGGGCAAGGGGTCCTGGCTGCTGGGGGGCACGGCAGGGTGGGTGCACCCCTGGAGGGCAGGGGCTGCAGATCCAGCCTGGCAGAGCCACATCAGAGCTGTGGCTCTGTGTCCCCACTGTCCACACTACACCTCTGAGAGAGCAGCCGTGGGTGGAGTAAGACCCCCACTGTGGTTTTCCGAGCTGGCAGCACCATTTGACAGTGAAGGCCACATGCCATATCTGGCCTATATTTCTTTATTTTCAAGGGAAGCCACTGTCCGGAGTCTGTGCCTCCCTGATTTTCCTGAGCCCGCAGAGCTGGTATGGAAGTATCTAGACCTGTCTACATTTCTCCTTCTTTACCTCCTGCCTCTGCTGATCATCACCGTTACCTACACGCGCCTGGCCAAGAAGCTGTGGCTCCGCAATGCCATCGGGGACATCACCACGCGGCAGTACATCACCCACCACAGGAACAAGAAGAAGAGCATCAAGATGCTGATGCTGGTGGTGGTGGTCTTTGCGGTCTGCTGGTTTCCCCTCAACTGCTACGTGGTGCTCATCTCAAGTCTGGGCATCAAGACAAAGAACTCTCTCTATTTTGCCCTGCACTGGTTTGCCATGAGCAGCACTTGCTACAACCCCTTCATCTACTGCTGGCTGAACGAGAGCTTCCGCACAGGGCTCAGGGCCCTGCTCTGTATCTGCCAGAAGGCACCGCCGCCTCAGGACCACGCACTGCCGCCAGTGGCCGCGTCCTGCCGCGAGGTGTGGATGGAGCAGGCCAGGTGCAGGAAGGGAGCTGTCTCCCAGACCATCTGCTCCACCGGGAACCTCCCCACAGCCAACACGGACCTGTGAGCCGTGGGGCTGAGGGGAGTTACCTGGGTGTGTGGGACATCAAAAGGCATCTCCTTGTCTCCCCTCAGAAGCCAACGTTGCTGCTCTGATGTTTCACTGCTGACTTTTGCTTGGTCTTGCTGTAGCCCCTCCTATTGCTCGGCATGGAGGGTGCATAGCTTCTCCAGCACCCTACCAATAAAGCCCCTGCTGCAGCTGGCCCAGGGAGCAGGAGTACATACAGGGCACAGAAATCTGCTTTTGAGGGTTCTCATTTATTGTTATCAGTGAACCCAGATTTCTATCACTACTCACACTGGCCTGAGTCACTGGCCTGGAGCAAGTGCCACGACATGAAGCTTGGCACAGCGTCAGAAACAGACTGTGTTTGAAGGAAGGACTTGGACATTCAGATGAACTTCATCCATAGGGAGTTTCTCCAGATAGTTTATAACAAAGCTTTCTGACAGAGGTAAAGGTTTTCAACAGCAATTTCCCCCTCAGATGCTGCTGTTCTTCCTGCCCCATCTCTGTACCACCGACAGCAACAGGAACCCAGCCCCGACTGAGAGGAGCAAGGATACACCCCAGGAGCCATGGCTGCAGCCTCAGATGGCGCAATGACCAACTAATTTAGTCCATTGAGAAGTTCTTTGTATTATAAATATATTAATTCAGGAAATAGAGCTACAATGGCACTCTATGGAATGCCACAAGTTATTTTACCAGAGCTGTAGCATTCACTCACTGAAGAATGGAATCATTCTGCCTCAATCATACTAGTGGCTGTAAAAGTCTCATTTAAACAACAGGAGGGCAAGAAAGGACCAGAAAGAATGTCCCATTAGGAGCAACTGAGGACTCTGGGACTGCCTAGTTGGTGCAAACCAGGTAATGAATTCCAGTAGCCCAGAGGAGCTGTGGCTTCTGGGGCAGGGATGCTCCTGATTTGCCCTGGTGATAGCCCAGACAGAGCTTCTGCCCAGGGAGGAGGTGGGGGGGCCCTGGTGACTGGAGGTGATGAGGACATACTCCCACCACTTCCTGGGGCATGATAAGCCAGAACAAAGACTGGAAACCAAGGACTGATTTTTTTTCTTTTTTTCCATTTATGCAGCGAGAAGGAATAGGAGAGAAAGGAGTGGGAGTCCTCTTTTCTGGCCACTTGACCCTGGTTGGGTGCGTTCCTGAACCTCAAGTGTGCATGGCAGTGCCCAAACCAGGTGAAGACAGTGGAGCACCAGGAGTGGCAGCAGAAATGGGTGAATACTTGGTCCCTGAGACACCTTACTTGGAAGTCACAATTATAGAACCTGGGAATTCAAAGCTGTCTGTGCTAGGGTGCCAGCGCTGCCTCCCTCAGTGTACAGCAGGGTCTGTTTCAGTCAAAAGACCTAATTGGGAGTTTTTCTAAATGTTAAAGTTATCTCTAATTAATGAGCATAAGTTCATTTAATTATTAAAAGAAGTGGTCATTTGCTTTTTTGCTCTTTCTCACCCCTCATCAGCTTTTGGTGAGGGGCTCTCAAAGGGCATGTATTGTCTTTAGTATTTCTTAGGTTTGCTTTTCTTCATTTCTGTCTTTAAATGGCTTTATAACCTTTTTCTGGAGGAATCAAGCACCTCAATCCAAGGAAGTGGGTCTCTCTTCACACTCCCTTGATCTTCTGCTAATCCCTGTAGTTAACCATCTCTTGCTGTGAGAAATAACCTGGCTGGTTTTCCTTGGATCTGTCAATCGCAGCATCTCCTCATTGCTGAATTTTTCTCCCCTAAATGGGCAGGATGTCAGAGCTGACTGTATCACATCTCTGTAAAGGCTCAGCTATCCGGACTGATAATTATCAATGCCTGCATGAGATTCAGAGCCTCGCATTCTTCGCCCAGTGCCTCGACACTCCCATATCACTTAAGGATACCCCAACTCCCAGCAGCACCCCTCAGCAGTTCTCAGGCAAACATAGGATGCAAAACATCAAAAAACCCCACAACCTGAGTGATGCTTGACCAGGGCAAGGGCAGTGCCTGAGGGGCAGGAGGCTGCATCCCTGATGGACTGCAGGTGAGCAGAGGGCTTACCGAGACAGGCTCTGGAAAAGGGAATCTGTGAAATTTGGCTTTTGCTGAGTCTGAGTCAACTGAGCAGGTAAATAGATGCTGAAACATTCCTTAATCTCTCTCTGGTCCCGCTGCCCACCTGTGGGAATGGCTTCCTGAGCGGTGGCAATGGCAGCCCGCTGTCCACGTCCCTAGGACCATGGGAGAGCTTCCAGGAGGGGATCCCCTGTGCTCCCGGCCTCAGCCGGACTGTGCTGGTGGGCGCAGGGTCCTGCTCCGGCCGGGGCAGCAGCAGCATGGTTTGGTCCCTGCGGCCCCGAGGCTGGAGCCGGACAGGAGTGTGGGGTGGGAGGAGAATCCCCCTGGAAGCCTGAGCTGCGTGGAGAGCCCTGGTCCTGTCTGTGGAGCGAGTGTGGCTCCTCTCGGCAGACGAAGCCCTGGGAGGCAGAACCCTGAGGGAGAGTTTGGAGGGCAGATTATTGAAACACTGAGTCACTACAAGTCTACTGCAGGGAAACTATTTGAGCACACACAAATCAGGGTGCAAAGATCCAACGAGACATGTCTGAGTGATTAACAGCCCAAATTTATTAAGGTTAGCTCATGCCAAATGCAGCTGAGTGCCTTCAGCAGAGTTGCTGATGAAGACGATAACAGGGAACATAGTGCAAGGGATACCTGAATTCCAGAGACAAATCCTCTTATATAGCCCCATCACATAATGAACAAAGAAACCACAACATGCCAACTAGATTAACAAAAAGCAAGCAGAAAAAAACCCACAATGAGTCAGAAAATTAGCTCAGGAAGGAGAAACAGAATACAATTATCATCAGTTAGCTCTTCAAGTGGAAAACAGTATGGAGGGCCTAGCCAAAGCATGCTGCAGGGAAAAATGGGAATGTCCTCAGTTAAATCCAGCACAAGCCCTGGGAAGTGGGGGTATAGTTGAGGCAGAGTCAGACCATCATTTTGCACTGAGAAATAACTTGGCAGCTTGGGTCATTCACGGACCAGGGAAGGACCTGGACATGAAAGGCACACCCCAAATTCTCGCGTGGGCGATGATGCGCAGCCGCCCTGTGCCGCAGGCAGCAGGAGAGTACTTCTCTCAAGCTGGAGCACACAGCTCTGCCCTCTCACCGACTGCAAAGCCAACCTACCTGCCCCCCCGTAGAACCCCTCTGCTCCCCATAGAACCCACCTGCACCCCACAGAATCAGCCTTCTCCCCCCTCTGCCCCCACCACCTCCCCCTGCCACTCCCCCTGCACTGTGGTGGGCAGAGGAACACTTCTGATCTCCCAGACTTTGGATGGAGCCCAGACGGGAATACTGGCAGGTAAGGGCAGGTTTAGCACCAGGCACAAGGTGCAGTCAGTGCTTGGTTTGATGACTGCTGGCATTTCCCAAGCTGCCCTGTCCCACCAGTGCTCAGCAGTGATCCCCACTCCAATTCCAAGGTCTGTTCCTAAACTGCTCTCCCAAGGTGATGCCCAAATACTCCCAGTCCTTGGCTCTTCCTGATCTATGCTGAGCAGGTACATCAGAGGCATCTGGTGATGTTGCCCCTTGGGTATCATGCACTGGAGCAGGGCTCATGTCCTTTGGGGTCCCTGATGGAACTAGGCAGGGAGGCAGCAGCAGGTACCAAATGCTGCTCAGCCCTGGCTGCAGAGAAGCTCCAAGCAGTGCTGGGAGGGCTGGAGGGACCGACAGCAGCAGGCGGGGGTGTGGGCGCTGTGCCTGGGGCAGCAAAAGCTGCCTTGGGAGGTCACAGGGAGTCTCCCCAGGCAGCAAAGCAGAAACACTTCTTGCCCTGCTCCCCACCCCCGGTATTTTGTCCTTTGCCCTGGTAATTAGGGCTGAATTAATCCAGTTGGCCCTTGACTGAGGTTTCACTCCCCCAGCAGCCCACACTGACTGAGCTGCCTTGTTCAGCAATACCAAATCACAGAAGGACATTGACACGAGCTCTCAATGGAGAGCAGCTGTCACTTAACTGGAGGTGAGAGGAAAAAAATAATAATAAACCCCCTCAAAAGCCACAGAGTGAGCCCTGCAGGAACCACATGTCTGATTGTACAATACAATAGTCTGTCACTTGAGGAGACCTCTCCGTGACAGGCCCATAAAAAGTCTCCTTGGCAGATGAGGACAGATTAATTGCTTTATAAAATCAGATGGATGGACCATCTAATCCATGTGCTGGAGACAAACCCAACTGCTTTATGGGACACCCAATTCTATAAGGGACAATTACAGGGAGTGTACCTATTAATGGAATTTCTGCTTATTACTTTGCAATTAATGGGGCTTCAGGGCATAAAGGTTTATATCCTCTATATCATTCCTACAGGCTTTCACTGCATACATCTGTATCTGATTCATACTGTGTCATGCAGGTTGTAGGACCTTGGTGGTCTCCTGCCCCTGGGATTTCCCCTCTGCAGGGACCTGCAGTTGGTGATATTAGCTGACAGCAGCAATAGGGATTTTCAAAGCCTCATTTTGACCATTTTCTGTTGTTCCTGCAGCATTGCAGAAGTCACTGCTATTTCAAACCCACTCTTGGACCAAGCTGAGCACTGCTATCAGTGTGATTCCAGGGTATATAAGTATTCTGCTGTCCTGCACAGCTTGCAGGGCATGATGTAGGGATATTCATTCTCCAGGAGAACTGTTATGATTAACAGAGCTAATAAAGACCATGAATATTTAGCAACATATCCAGACATCTCAGCTTTAAATGGGAACAGATTCATTGCTTGACTGATTCTCCACTTTGTGAAACCCATTTGTCAAATACTTTGGTTTGCCTTTGTTTCTACTGGTCACTGAGAAGAAAGGAGAAGCAGGAGGAAGGTGGGACAAATGTTCTGTTTTCCTATCAGTACTGCTGAGCATTGCTAACACGTTCTCTGCTCCCCCTCCCTGTACAAAGTGGGGGACAGGAGCCTTTCCTCCATTTCATTTTTATCTGTATTGGTGTGTGTGTCCACACACACACGCTCTGGACACCAAGCTGCCGTTTCAAATGCCTTTCCATGGCACAGGTTCTGCAGGGCAGGAGCATCACCCTGTCAGTGCTCAGGTGGAGGCGTGTGCTTTGGGAGGACCTCTGGACAGGACCAGGGGAGACCCCGGTGAGAAGCAGAGCAGCTCCCAGCCCCCTGCTCTCGATGTAGCAGCCCCACGTCCTGGAGGACCTGCTGAGCAGCACCAGAGCTGTGTCTGACCCCTCTGGCTTTGGAGGTGGCCGGGGCACAGAGCCAGGGCATCGCATGGTCCTTGCTAATATTAACTGTAGGAGGTAAAAAATGAGGAAAATTGGCCCTGTTGTTATTGTACTTGATTTGAGTATTTATTTGTAATCCAATAATTCCATCAAAGCAGCTCAAAGGAGGATGAAGGGGGAGCGGGAAGAGGTATTGAACGGATTGTGAAAACACTTTATTCTTTTGCTAAAGCTCCATCCCCAATGGATGCTGCACTGGAAGCCAAACCAGCCCAATACCCGGGCTATTGGCTCTTGTTAATGTACTAATTGTCACGCAGAAACAGGCTGGCCAAGCTCAAAAACCTCATTTACCACCAGGGCTCAAGGCAGGAATACAGGAATTTCACTTGGAATAATAATAATTTATTTTTGATGAATAATAATTATTGGCATCAGTCTGTCCCTGAAGACAGCATGGCTCTGGAATTGGAGATGGATTTATTTTCCCTTAAAAATTAACAACTTCTGCCAATAAAGGAATTGGGAACCTTTTTTTTTTTTTTTTTTTTAGTGGATGTTGTTGCTCCCAGTTTGGTCCTAATTAAGATGGTTTGTTCTCACATGTCCGTTTAATTCCCTAAGCACTCTGTCCAGTTCCCCAGAGCTTGGTGGCTTGTCTGCCCACCATGACTGTGGGTGAGGGTAGCACTGCGTGGGTGGGTGCTGAGCAGCCAGGGATGCTGGGGATATCCCAAACACTGTGAAAGCTTTTCAGCTGCTTTTTGAAAGTCCCTGTGAAGAAGGTAGAAGAACAATACATTTCTGTCTCCTGGCAAACACATCCAATTCAATAATGTGCTGTGAAATGTGTTTTCTTCACTTGTAATAGTCCTTGTGTCCTGCAGAGACATGGTGAAGTGAGAACTGAGCATGGAGGGGAAGCCTGGGGGAATACAGAATGAGAAAATCAGAGAACAAACAGTAAAAACATCACCTGTGGGGAAGGAAAGTGGAGAAGGGAAGGAACTCCAGTCTGGAAATTCAGTTCTCTCTAATGGATTTCAGTCTTCAATTTTAGCAATGGAAACTTATCCACCTGTCCTGCTGCCCCTGTGCAGGGGCCAGGGGCACATGGAGGGCAGTGCAGGGCTGAACAGGATGTGTCCAGTGGGAGGAGGGTTTTATTATAGAGCTGAGTACCATCGAGACCCATGGGGATGAGCAATTCCCATGCAAGAAGTAGAGCAAAAGGGGGTTAAACATCCTCTGAGCCTGTCCCTCCTGACATTAAAATCAGATGAAATTTAATTACTGCCTCTCTCCTTGAGTTTACCTGTGTGAATCCCCTTCTTTCTCTGCCGTTGTTTCCTGGGATTTCTGCTCTTTCCTCCTCCCAATGGATGTGCACAAGAAGGCTGGAGAGCAGAACTGGGCCCCCACCATGGGCAGTCACTGTGTCTTCACTCCCATCCCTCACCTAAAGCCACTGCAGCAGCTCATCACCATCACTGGGCCTGGGGACATGGGGGACGCTTGGAGCGCAGCTCTGCTCCCACCACCTCTGGGGCCTGTGTGCCTGAGAACAGGCTGGGAGTGGGGACTTGCAGCAGGTCCAGGGTGGGAAAAAACAGTGGCACCTTCCTCCCCTCCCTCCTCTCCACAGCTCCCTCACCCTGGGTCCAAGACCAGTCTACCACAGGTATTTAAGGTTTCCTTGCTGGTGAGCATCCTGGTTTGGGTTAGGTGAGGAAGTGGAGTGTGAAAGCAGGAAAACTGTTTGCCGAGGCTCTCCAGAGCCATCGGTGTCACTCCTGCCATTTGAGTGCTGAACGCTGCAGCTCAGTCAGAGCTGCCTGAGAAGCACAGGCTCCCCTCTCCTGCACGGAAAAGGGCAGCCTTCCCCTGCCCATTGCCCCCTTCCCTGCCCTCCTCTCCCTGTAACTACGATGTTTAGATCTGTGTTTTAACACAACATTGGTCTTAATCCAGGCCATCACAGTCCAAAAATGGAGAGGCAGACACAGGACTTCAGGAAAAAGTCCTACTGTAAAAGCATTTGCTCTGTGCCTCCAGAGCACAAGGAAGACCTTAGAAAGCTCCTCTGACTTCACTGTCCACAGACCACGCAGCCCATGTTAGCTCAGGGCTCATTGATTAGTCTGGTTCCGAGCAAGATCCCACCCAGAATACTTCATTAGAGGCAATACCTCCTCACCCTGGCCAGCTCCTCCATGGCTCCCTTTGCCACTCAGTGCTCAGGGGGAGGACATGCCCTCAGAGGGAGGTCCCCTCTGAGAAGGATGTGAGACCCCACCTGAGTTGCAAACTCACCTCAGCAGGTCTAAGATAAGCTCTGCTCAGGGGTCACACAGTGACAGAACCACAGTCCCCACATCTGCAGGTACATCCTCAGCAAAACCTCATCGTCAGGAACATGTGGCTCAGCAGGATTGCTGTCTGCAAGCTGTGGCTGTTGGGAGCAGTGGGGCACAGGTCTGCGTTCCCACTCCAGACAGCTCAGGAGATGCTGCACATGCATCGCGTGGGCCAAACAGCATTCCCTGGCATTCCCTCTGGAGCTGGAGGCTTACCAAGCTGTGAGTGCCTTTGCATAGCTCTGCATCCCAGCTGGAGATGTTCCTGCTGGAGGCAGCTGAGGTAAGGACAGCATACTCCAGCACCTTGACATGCTGCCAGCCTCTCTGCAAAGCGTGGCTGAGGTGGCACCAGGACTGGGGTGGGAGCCAGCCTTGCTCTGGCCACGGAGGAGCAGGTTCTCAATCTCCCACTTCTCTGCCTGCATGGAGCACATACATTCCTCTGCCAGCCTTACTCCACAGACAGCTAGCTCTTATCCCAGTGTGGAGCATAAGACTCCCAAGTACTTTGAGGGGAACACGGATGGTTTATTATCACTCTTTGTGCATCAGCCAAAGACAAGGTGAGACCAGACAATGCTCTGAGGTGAGGAGCAGAGGGGTTGTAAACCTCTCATTCACTGGGAGTTCCTGGCATCTCCTGGTTTGGGTGGGACCATCTGCTCTGCATGGGAGGAGTTGCCCCAGGGACTTCTCTAGAAGAGCAGACCAGTGAGGTAGGGCCAAACCCACCTGCCCTTTGCATACTGCAGCATGTCTAGCCACGTGAGAAGAGAGTACTGGATGGTTACAGGCCCAGAGCCAGAAATCATTCGAAGGTAAGGCATGGCATACCCTGAATTCCCATCACAACAGTATGGAGGAGGCTGCTCTCCCAACAGACACCTCTGGCCCTCTGCTCTTGCCTTCCTGCAGTGTCAGTGGCCTTGGGCAAGTGAGGCATGGGCTAGGCGAGGCATGGGCTAGGTGAGGCATGGGCTAGGCTCTGAGCTCAGGTTACCCATGGGAGGGCCACAGCACCCTCCACCTTGGGCTGGTGCAGGCAGGGCCATTGTGATCATCACCACTGTAGATTGTGGTGAGGGTGGGTGCTCTCAGAACACCTCTGGTGCACTGTGTCAAACATCTGTGACAACAGGCTCCAAGAACCCCCGTGCTCCATGGAAATGGCTTCTTTGGAAACTGTGGATGCCAAATACCTCTACCACTGTCATGGTTTTGTGTTTGGGGCTGGACGACCAGTTCTTCAGGGCTGTGATTCTAGAGGTTGCATCATTGCCCTGTGGTATGGCAGAGGCAGCCAGGGCTGCATGTGGGGATCCTCACACGCAGGATGAGCTGCAGCAGTGCAAGCACCCATAGAGCCTTCCAGACTCTGAAAAAGTATCACAGCTTTAGCTAGGACAGAAAATCATCCTTCATGCTAATAATTATTTTAAACAGACCCAGTGTAAGGGCACGAACACTGTAATTACTGAGCTGAAATAGCAGCTGTTTTTGTGAAGCTTTGGGAATGGGAGCTCCTTAGGCATCATTTAGGGATCTCTGCCTCTCCCCGTCCCCAGGCCACAGAGCAAACCCCACCTGAGACTTGGCCCCTGTGAAGAAGGTTAAACCCACACAAAACCAGAAGCTGACGCTCCTGGTCTGGGCAGGTGTCCTGTGGGGATGGGCCCAGGGCCATGGCTGCTCCATCCAGCAGCCCCTCCCAGCTGTTCCCACAGCGGGGGATGAGGCTGACAGCCTCAGCTGCAGCAGCATCTCTCTGAGAAGCCCTGCCTGCCCTGCCAGACAGAGCCCACCAGCCCCCACCAGCCCCTGCAGCATTTGTCCCCACCTGGTCCCCTGGCAGGGGACCCACAGGGAGGGGACTAAAAACTCACGAGTATCATCATCTCTGGATCCAAAATTTATTGAACTACAAACACACAGCACTCAAGAGCACCAGGTCTGGAGGAATGTGGGGGAACCCCCGCCGTTAACACAGAAGGCAGGAGCTTCAGCTATTGCTAGATTTGAACACAGACAACACCCCAAGAACAACAAGAGCAATGCTACATCAGAATTACAATGGTAACAACACAGAATTTACAAAAATATAAATAACCTATTCGTAACCTTAAGGAAAAATAACATCCACCATAAAAAACACCATGTATTATCCTGGATAAACCATGGCTACAGAAATGTAGTGATTTTTTTCTTTAAAAGCACCAGTCTGCAGTATAAAATAATCCAACACAGAGGGCATCTTCCCCTGACACTTGCAGACTCTTCCAAGAAGTGTGCCCAGATCAGTAAAACAATGTCTTTGTCAGTATTGCCTATTCCTGTAAGAGCACGGTGAGGAGACAACTCTCTTGAGCACCCTGTTCAGGAACAGCATCCAAGGGTTGTTCCCCAATTGTTCATCGGAATGAGCACTTTAACAGCACTGAAGTATGTGCCTATTTTAGGTCTATGCTTAAGAGCTTCTCAGAACAGGGCTGGATTTAAACTTATCATACAAATTCCTCTGCAAATCAGACTTCCAGACAAGAATGGTGCCAAAACCAGTTGCTTGTAAAAAAATAACCCCACTGCACAGGAGTGTTCCACTGTTCAGCCCCAGCTCAAGTTTTGCATAGATGATCAGTTATTTCATTTCTTTCACCTCCCCGAGAGCCACGCCAGCTTGGCACAAACAGCTTCCTGAGGCCGTGACACAGAACCAGCACTACGGGAATTTCCTTCCCTTACATTCCATGTATTGTGTTGAAAATACTATTAAAAGGCAAAAGTCAAGTATCAAGTCCACTGGTTCCCCACTGAAGCAGTTCCTCATGCAGGGATAGGCATAATTCTGATGTCCAAGTCCCAGTATTATCCCTGTTTTCAGGCTCTCATGTTTCCCTGAGGGCTCCAGCTGAGTTCGAGGCAGGTTGGCCAAAGGATCCCCAGGGGCATGGGCTAAAGGCCACCTGTAGAAATTTTGGCCCTTGTAAACACAGGTGATTTTGTCACTGCAGCTGAAGGAAGGTGTCTGTCATGGACAGAGCGAGAGTGGGGGGCAGCCCTTGGCTGGGAGCTGGGGAGGCCTCACTGCTGAAAAGCCCCGTCCTGCAATGCTCTTGTGCGATGTCAAGCCCTGCTGCAGCAGCGAGCACAGAGACTTGCACTGATACCATGTGTGAGGCTCTGAGGGGGGCACTGAGAAAAGTTAAAACAGACCTTAAACCAGCCCCTGACAGCCCAGTGCCGAGGGAGCACATCCAGTGGCATGGCCGAGGCCTGAGGGGCAGCGCCAGTGGAGCAGGAGCTGTGGCACAGCACACACTCACCCTGAGCACCAGCACATCACCATACACACCACACATGGCACGGCACATATCACACATGGCATGGACACAGCACCCTGCACATCACACCTGGCACGGCACACAGCACCCTACACATCACACCCGGCACGGCACACAGTACCCTACACATCACACCCGGCATGCCACACAGCACCCTACACATCACACATGGCACGGCACACAGCACCCTACACATCACACCCGGCACGGCACACAGTACCCCACACATCACACCTGGCACGGCACACAGCACCCTACACATCACACCCAGCACAGCACACAGTACCCCACACATCACACCCGGCATGCCACACAGCACCCTACACATCACACATGGCATGGACACACCACCCTACACATCACCCCCGGCATGGTAAGTTTTGGCTGTAAATAATATTGCTTAGACATCAAACAGCTGAAAAATAATAGTTTGCTATGAATGGAATGGGGTTGATTTCTTTATAGAACTGAGAAAAATAAAGAATTAAAGCCTCACTCCATCTGCTGGCCCAGAGCCTGGCCCCCCCACACACCAGCAGAGCTGCCCAGCACAAGGAGGGACCTGCAGCACATACCTGTGACATGTCCCTGTTATTCATAGTTTTAATTTAATAGCCCTTCCTGCCCATCCTTTGCTCCTGATGCTGTCATGTTACAGGAGGGCACTGGCTCTGCCATCCTATCTGGCTGCTGCTGCTCTATGCACCCCAAATGACCTCACACTGGTGGCACCAGTGACACAGGGACATGCAGGACAAGCCCCCCAGACCAGTTCCAACTTCAAAGTCAGAGCTGGTGAGCTGAGCTGCAGGAAGGCTCTTACTCAGATGCTGTGGGTAAAGTTATCTACCTTCCCACTGGAAGTGACCAAGTGTGCCCACAGAGGAATTAAGTGTTTATTGAATTTTGTGAGGTGATTAATGCCAGCACTCTCCTTGCAGCAGAGAAACCTTAAACATGAAATCCCTGGCCTCAGGCTCATGTGTTGCAGCAATACTGCTGGTTGCTCTGAGAGTGCAGCAAGAGTTCAACTAACCCCAGCCCCAGATGGCACAAGGTCCAGCACTTTGGGTCTTGGGGAGTAAAGAGCAATAAAATGACCTTGACTGTGGAAGAAACAAGCAGCAGGGGAGAGAAAGTGCCACATCCAGCTGAAACTGCCAACGCCTCTGCTTATCTGAGCACATCCTGGGTGCGCTCGATTCCCAACAGCACTGAACAGCAAAAAGAAACACCAGCAGCTATTAATACTCGGGACAGGGTGGGGGGAGCGCTGCCTTCCCAGAACCAGAACTCGCCTCTTCCAGGTACTGCGGCCACATAAAGGCAAAGCCTGTGGGCTCAGCCGGAGGGGGGCTGGCAGGGTAACAGTGCCGCTTGCTGGCGACCACCATCCACGGGCTCGGCCCCACAGCCGGTGATGGGCAGGACCGCAGCAAGCGCTCAGTGGACCCACTGCGGCCGTGACGGACAAAGCAACTGAGCCAGAGCGTCACCGGTTCAGTCTCAGGACAACTGGGGTGACACTTACTGGACATCGCTGTCGGTGCCGCCTGGCACTGAGCCACAGCGACTGGCGCGCGCCGCAGCCCCGCTGGCAGCTGCTCCACCCGTGACCCCGGCGGGAGCGGCATCCGCAGGCCCCGCGTGCCCAGCCGCCCCCGCATCGCCGCGCCCCGCACGGGAACGTGCCCCCGCAGCCACCACTCCTGTCCAGGGCCACTGACAGAGCCCCAGTGGCTGGGGCAGACTGAGAACAGCCTGATCACCTCCAGTCCTCAGCCCCGGGCATGACAACTGAACCTGGGGCACCCAGTGGCAGCAGGACCACGACAAATGAAATTACAAGCAGAAGGGCTCTCCCCTCCCCAGTAGCAACTCCTAGGAATGAGAAATCAGGCCATTTTATGGCAGGAAAACAAAAAAAAAAAAAAGAAAAATATTTTAAAAGGAGCTGGCCCTGCTGTGGCTGGCACAGGGATGTCACCACTGACTGCGAGCACAGTCATGGCTTCAGCCCCCAGCTGCCACCTGCTCCCCAGGGCAAGGCAGTGCAGTGACCCTGCCCCTGTTGCCCTGTGCCACCGCAAAGCCTTGGAGGCGATGGGCAGCAGATGGCTGTGGGCCACGTCAAGAACCTGGGAGTGAGCCAGCACCTGCCCCCGGCCAGCAGCCACAGCCTCTGGAAAAGGATGTACACCAGCTCATCCTAGGGATCAGTCTGAGACTCCTGTCAGGACAAATAGACACAAAAGGGAAGGTGCCAGGATGGCACAGGAAGGCAAAGGGTGGAGCCCGGCACGTGAGCCATGGTCAAATCCTCTGCTGAGGAAATCCCAGCGTGGAGGAAGAGAAACAACCAAAAAGCAAACTGAGAAAGTGGCATCTGGCACCTAGGAAAGCACAGCACAGGTAAGAGGAAGGACAGGAAAGCTGGAATGGAAGGGAGGCGATGGCTAGGCCCATAGGAGGATATTGCCCATGGAGACCAAGCCCCATGGCTGAAGGACCCTATGGTAAGAGTGGGGCAGGATGGGGCTCAATGCAGAGCCAGAACACTGCATTGCAGGTAGCACAGTGACCAACAGGCAAGGGTGTCACAGCCAGAGAAAAACAGTGTCTGGAGGGGCCTGAGCGAGCCCTCCCACACAGAGCTGGGAGAAGGCACAGCTGTGCTTCCCAGAACCCCTCACATCCTTCCATTCCATGACGCAAAGACCATCTCCATGCTCTCCCCCCAGGCACACCAGGGACACTACATGACTGAAGGCCACTGGATCCTCTCCCACACCAACAGTGCATGGAGCTTTCCTCATCCCTCTGCGTCCTCTAGTGCTGGTGGTCCGTCACAGGGCTGAGCGTGAAGTGGTCACAGAGCAGGAGCAAGGCGTCGAAGCGCTGGAGCCGCTGCAGCGCCTGTGCCAGCAGCGGGACGGTCACTGCGGCTCCCGTGTAGGTGAAGTGCGCGACAAGCTGCTCAAACCCTGAGATCCGTCCCAGTAGCTGGGGCACGAGCCCCAGCTCCAGTGCCACGTGGCCGAAGTTCTTCACACCAGTCAAGGAAGGGTCCAACAAGAAGGCAAGCGACTGCACCAAGGAATGGGGCAGCTCTGCAATTAGGAGACCTGGGGGGGCAGCATCACAGTGAAGCTGGGTTAGAACCTGTCCTTCCTGGCCAGGATAAGGGAAAACAGAGCAACCAGACTCCAGACCCAACCCCTGCTGAGCAGGTGACAGGACATCCTGCCAGGTATCTCCTCCAATATCACTTTCAGAGCTCAGCAACATGGAGGTGGCTCAGTCCTGGGGAAGCTGGTAACTGGTGACAACTAGGCTTCCATCAGCCACTGGCCTGCAGGCTACTCAAGGTAGCATCACAGAAAATGTACCTTCTGAACCAGCACCAAAGGCCACAAGTTAGATAAGTGATGCCTGGCACCTCCATGCAGCCATGGTGGACTTCTGGAGGAGCTCTATTTCAAGAACCTGCCTCTCTGATATCCCAGTGGTCAGAGAATAAAGATGAGGCTGGAAGACCACTTACCCTTGGCCGCACTGCTGATCTGAGTCACCAGGCTCTGAGCATCATCCACCTGGTGAGACAAAGACCCCAAGGTTGGTGGCAGTCTGCTGAGAACAGCAACCCCAGGCACTGCTCCCAGGGCCATCACAGGGGCTCACAGAATGGTGCTTCTCCTCCAGCTGTGCCACCCCATATCAACAAACCTCAGTCCACATCCCTACCCCTCCATCAAGCCCAGCCCCTGTGCCTGAGCCTCGGGCACCTGGCAGCAGTTTAGAGGAGTGATGAGGATGGAGGAACTTACTGGCTGCTCCCCAAGGGAAATATCGGCGGTGGGATTTGGGAAGGTGGGGGGCAAGTGATGGGCTCCCTCCTGCACCACACCACTGCTCTCTGCCGGGATCCTCTTCACTGCCTGGCTCGCTGCATCATCTGGCCGCTCGCTGCCCTCAAACTCTGCCTGGGAGGAAAACTTCTGGAGGTCCAGCTCGGTGCACTCCACTGGTGCGTGTGGCCACTTGTGCTGCAACTCGGAGGCGCAGGAGGAGAGGGGGGCCAGGGCCTCCACTGTGCCCGGCTGACCCTGCCTTGGGGCGGGGGGCGGCAGGACCCCGGCCAGGCAGTCCCCATGGCCCGAGGCCCGCATGAGGGGCTGGCTTTCCAGGAGGCTCCTGGCCAGCTGGGCCTTGGAGGCAGTGCTGATCACAACGGCTGGTGGCAAGTCCATCTCTGGCTGGTGAGAGGGGAGCTGGAGACCCACAGCTTCCCCATCTGAAATGAACTGCACTGCTTCCACAGGGCCTGGAACCAGAAACAGGCATGGCTCAGCAAAGCTCACCACGCAGCTCCAACCTTCCTGCCTAAGGGCATCTCAGCAGGTCCTGGGACACTCAAGCTGGAGCCCAGCACCACCTCCCTCCCCATGGGAAGGCAGCAAAAGCAGGTACCTTCTGCCTGCCTGTAGCAAGGGCTGAGGTTCTTCACACCCAGGCAGCAGGGACCAGACATCTGCTCCTCACACAGGAACCTGCCGGGCGCCGCTGCAGTCGGGAACATTGCTCGCTGGTCCGAGAAGTTCTGAGTCCTCAGGAAAACTTGGAGGATAGAAGAGAACCAGCCTGAGCAAAGGCCTGGCTCGCTTCCCCAGCATCTCCTCAGCCCTGTGGTATGTCTGCTGGCAAGGAGCCAGGAGCCAGCAGCTCCCTGGCATGCTGCTGGATGCCAGTGTGCCCCAGCCCACCAAACCTACTGCCCTCTTCCCTCAGCAGCAAAGAGCTGCCCAACCTGAGAAACCCCAGAAGAGAGAATTGTCAGTTCTGAGTGCAAAATGGCCTTCTCTTTTTCCTCCTGATGGCACCAAGGAGGAGGGAGGATCCTCTGTGTCTTTAAGCAGGCAAATCACACAAGAGGTCCTGCAGGCATGAGAAGCAGGACAAGGTGTCTACTCTGTAGGAGCCAAGTAACAGTTGGGTCACTGTGCTGTCAAAGTGGCAATGCTCAGGGCAATACTCTACACAGCAAGAAGGAACCACAGGCACAGGTGAATAGCACAGAGAGGAGGAGAGCACTGACTCACCTCGCTGGCACTGGCTCTTCCAAAACCGCTTGCAGTAGATGATGGAGAGTGCCAGAAGCACCAGGACGATGATGATCAGGGCGCTGCTGGTCAGCGCAAGAAGGGCTGTGTCCTGTGGTGGTACAGTGGGGATGGCGATCTTCACCAGGTTAGTTCTGGAGCGACCTGCAAACATCAGCCACAAAATGCTGAAGCCAAACTCCGAGGCTTGGGACCACCCCTTCCCATGTGCCCCTTGCCACATGCCATGACTGTGCCTCCTCCAGTTGGGCTGCAGCTCCACCCACCCCAATCTCCCTCAGTGAGGGGCAACCTACACTGTGGTTCAGAGGAGGGCGTCTGCTTGGTGCAGGGGATGCACTCCCATTCCAGCTGCCCGCTGATCCGTGCTTTCCGGTAAAACCTGCCAACAGAGCAGAGGGGCTCAGCAGTGCCCAGCCCCTGGTGAGGCCCCACCCCCCTGGCTGTGCAGCCAGCTGTGCTGCCCAGCCCGTGGCAGTGGGGGACAGCTGACGCCCCACTCTTGCTCAGCCAGCTGGGCCACCCCACAGCAGCAGGGCTGTCATCGCTGACCGAAGCTGCACTGCAGCTACTTGTTCACGCCTAGCCATTTGCTAAGGAGTGACATCCCTCCAACAGCCCCTCGCTCTCTGGCCCCATGTCTGCTGAAGCGGATTATAGAGACAAGCAGCTCCCCAGAGGGTCAGAACACCCCAGTTACAGCTGTGTCCAGCAAGAGGCTCACACACCAAAGCCTCAGCTCGCTCCTGTCCCAGTCGCACTGATGGTCAATGCGTGTCTGCAGCCCTCAGGCTTGGTGCGGGCTGGCTGTATACAGCACTTTCATTTCAGTAACTCCTTAAACACTTCACCCCTCTGTCCTCCTCTTTCGGGACCATCAACCATAGTGGTCTACAGCCCCTCATCTTTCAGGGCTTGGCCACCCTGGTGTCCACAGAACAACTCGGGTCTGGAAGTTTTCTTCCACAGCTGATTTATGGAAGCCTTCAGGTTCCCTTCTCTGGAGCTACAAGGGGACCATCAGAGGGGTCTGACTTCCATGTAATGAGCAGTGTCTTCATAGAGGCAGGTCTGGGTCATCAGGCTCCTCTTACGTCCCATGACCCAGGTAGCTTCAAATGCCACCCTCTCTGCCCACACCCTCCCTGCCTGTCCCCAGGTGCAGCCTCAGTGGCTCTGCTCAGCCTGGCCCTGCTCACCCTGGCAGGCACTCCCCGCAGACCGCGTCGGCCGTCGCCGTGCAGTTGGATTTCTGGAGGCGGTTGATGAGGGCGCAGGACAGGCAGGGCTTGCAGCCGTGGTGTCCCCAGCGGTCCTTGAACTTCCTGGGAGGGCAGGCCACGCACTGCGCGTCCCCACCGCTGCCGTCACCGCAGTCCTGCAAGGGGCCACGGTGGGTTCCAAATGGTACCAAGGGGAACAGTGTGCCTTCTTTGGGGGAAAAGGGTAGTGGGGCCACAACTCATGTGCAGGGTTCTCAGAAGCCAGGCGAGAGCCGCTGCCAGCACGGCTCCCCCAGGACACTGTCTCATGGCCGGCCATGGCCCACCGGCGCACTTCGGCTGTCGGAAAGCTCTGGCAGCACCATGCCCAGGAAGGCACCTCTGGGGAGACCCCACTGGGACTCCCCGCACTGAGGCTGGGCCAGGACCACCCACAGCATTGTCCTGCTGGCACCCACCCATGTGCAGCCTGGCCAGGCAGTGTGACCCCACTCAGAGCTATGGACCAGAGGAAATTCAGACTTCCATCAGCAAAAAAGGAAACAAGGCAGCACAAGGAGCAACCTAAATCCCTCACCACCTCCTGCTTCCATTGTCTTGCCCTCCTACCCAGGGGGAGTGAAACAATTCACCGTCCCATCCTACCATGTCTCAGCTCTTCCCAACATTCCGGGACTTAAGATCATCCTTCTGAAGAGAGGCAGGAAGAGGATTCATCCAGCACTGTAAAAGCCTTGGTGATAGATGACTCCCTTTCCTTACAGAGCAGTCAATTTACCTTGGAAAGCTCCTGCCCAGGCATGCACTTTCTACAGGGGACACATTTCTTCTGGTCATCCAGGTACTCGCTCTCTTGGCAGGCCATTGTGCTGGAGATGAGTGGGGAGCCTGGGGAAAAGAGGAAGAGAAGGCAGAGGGGTCACAGCCAACCCCAACACCTTTGGGATGAACAATGTGCCCGTCTCTGGGTGGCCATTTCCATCTGGCCAGGATGGCAGCTGGCACTGCTGGGCATCATGGGTGGGACTCAGGCAGGAGGTGGTTGCTGATTCCTGGTGCACAGCTCTGGCAGTCTCGGGCTTCCCAGCAAGGCTGGTGATGAACTGCCCCATTTAGTGGAACAAACGAAATTTCAGACCCAGGATTGAGGCAGACCCACCGACTGCTTGGGTCACCAGTGGATTCTGCCAGCCCCCAGCCATAGCTCCGGGTATCTGAGACGATCAGCAGAGAGCTCAGCCCCAGCAAAGGCCCAACAAAGTCCTAGCTTAAGGATCCAGAAGTCCACCTCTGGCCAGCATGGCTGCATTAGTCTGACAGACCAAATACAGGTCACACACACCCCTGTGTTCCCACTGTATCCCCAGGGACACACACACACACCTGTGGCCCTGCTGCTCTGCCCTGGATCTGTGCAGCCACAGGGTATTGCTCTGCACACATTCTGGCTCAGTGCAGGCTCACTCAGAGTGACCTCAGAGGACTGGCAGAACAAGCTCCCACCTCCCTCCAAAACACCCTCCAGAGCCTTCCCGAGGTGCATTAATGGCTCAGCTGAAGGTGAGGGCAGAACCAGACACTGTGGGGCTGCACCGTCAGTGAGGGTGGCTCACAGGGGAGCATGGGACTAGTGTCTCACTCAGAACAAGCAGCTCAGACTGAAGCTACAAACCTGAGCAATTTATTTGGAGTTTTGGGGCTGTCTGATCAGTTCTGGTTTTTGTAGTGGAGGTGGAGCAGCTGCAGGACCCCCAGCACCACAACAACTCTTGAGAGAACTCCTTCCCCTCCCACGGCAGCATTCCTCCACAGGCTTTTTCTGCCTCCTCTGCCTAATTCCACCACTCCCTTGCTGGTGCCTTTTGGAAGCAGACACTTGGCTGGGCTCCCCCAGCTCTGGAGGGCCGAGATTCATGGGAGATGAGGTCTGCCCGGACGAGCACAGCGCGTGAGTCACCCTCACGCAGATCCGGCTCACGGTGCACGGGCTGATACAAGGATCGGCAGCTGATCCCTTAGGGACTGGCCATGAGGAGCTGAAGGGGCTAAATCTGTCTTGCAAACATCTCGGGAGGGGCATAGGCACAGCCTATAAATAGCATTAAGGTTCCTGACGCTACTGAATAAATAAAGGAGATTTGTCACCATCTCAGAAGGTGGTGAAGAGGGAGCCCAATGCCACCGCCCTGGGATATGCACTGGGTTTTGCTACACGCTGAATGCAGGAGAGAAAATGAAAAGCAGAGAGATGGGTCCCAAGCGGGTGACACCCAACTGCTTTGTGGGGCTGGCACACCAATGGCCGGAGCCCAACCTCTCTGTGAGTTCGTGCCTGCAGCCAGGCTCGCCTCTGCTGTCAGGTGCCTCTGGGGTAGGGGGTCAGCACAGCCAATGCTCAGGTCTGGAGCTTGTTCCAGCTTTTGCACAAGATGAATGAAGCAAAATTGCAGGCAATAGGAAAGGAGCCCAAACACCAGAGTGTGGAGAGCAAGGGACTGATTTTTATCTGCTCTCCGAAGTGCTGCTGTATCACCAAAAAAAGGCACTGGTGGAAAAAAGAAAAAAACAACTCCCCCCACAATAAAATACCCCCAACCAGCACACTTTTTGGTGAAACTGTCTAGAAACACAACCCGATCACTCTCATATATTTACAGATTTTTCTGTAAGGGCCTGCAGCTGGATGCCCTTACAGCCCCCTCCCCACAAGAGTCCCAGCTTAAAGCAGTTCCCCAAATACAGAAAGTTACACAGGCCAAAGGAATCCCACAGCAGAGCTGCTCCACGTGTGAGGATGTCTGCCAAGATGATGGAATTGCTGAGGATGGGGGAGACAGCCTTCCCTGCTGTGCCAGCAGCATACTGGGCACAGGGCAGGCCTGCTGCTGCTCAAACCACAGCATAATGATAGAAGGAACAAACACTTTGTTGAATATCTGGCATGAAATTCAAATCTGTGGGATCTTTGTACTTCTTATTTCAACAACATCAGACCCAAGACACTTCATTTGTATGTGGAGGACACATCCAAACCACCTGATGCTGCCCCGGTATGGCAGCAACCTTGGATCCTCTGATGTGTGACTGAAACAACTGGTCCTAATGAACTGAAAGAAAAAGCCAAAAACAAACAACAAACCCTGCCACCTCTTTGGGAACCACATGGGGTCTCCAGGTGACTGCCAGAGCAGCAGATTTATCTGCCAAAGAGGAATATAAAGGTATCACAGTGTCAGTGAGTATACCTTGGACACATTATCAATGTACTTATAGGTTGGGGGAAAGAAGAATCCTGCCCTAGTGCAAGATCCATGAGATCTTCTAACTTAAAAACATTATTAATTTGTTCAAGAATTCTTTTATTGCCTTAAAGAGACATCCTGCCTGAGCAGGGAAGCAGAGCAGGCTCCCCACTGCATCATCCCTTAAGACACCAAACCCACGAGCTGATGAATGAGTTTCACTGCATGAGATGAAATTGTTCCAGCATTGCCACAGTATGAGCTGCAGTTCATCTGCCCTGTGACAGTGCTGTGGTTCAGCCATTGTCTTTTGTCTGCAAAAGTGTGATTTTCAAAAGAATTCGACTACATAGGAATATAAACTACTTCTTCTGTGTCCAGCTAATGGATTCTGGTAGGAAAAAGAAGGTGAGAAAATTAATAAGTGAAAGGGTAGAAAATAAAAGTAATCAGTGAAAGCATTAGTGCTACTGATTCTCCCCATCTGCCCAGCACATACCAGGCAGGGGGGGCCAGCAGGGATGCAGGCAGTGCAGGGAGGGCAGGGGAACAGGCTGGAGTGCAGACAGGGCAGGAGGAGGTGGGCTGGGCTGGTCCCTGCTCCAGCCATTGACCCCGTCCCCTCACACCGTGGGTCTCTGTGTGCTTGGGATAGGGAGTGCCCAGACCCACCTTCAGGGACTTGGACACCTACAACCCGGCAGTGGCTCTTCTACATCACAGGAGCCAGCACAACTCAGGTTTTTCCTCTGCAGCATGACCGACTGGCACAGCCAGGCAGTACCATGCCTCAGATGAGACACTTGTATACATTGGAATTCTATTTCAGAGAGCTGAAATCCTAAATAAGAACTGCAAGTGAAAAGCAGGGGAAAAAAAATGTTATCTGGAAAATATGAGTGCACTCCTCGTGCTTGGCCACAGCCAGTCCCGGACTCCTGCTCAGCCATTCTCCCACTCCGGTCCGGGCAACGTCTCTGCCTCTCCCTGTGCTACAGACTGTGCTGGGAGAGTCTCTGCTGCAGTGAAGGAAAGAGGTGGAATCTGAGGCTTTCCACGTGGCTTGGAAATCAGCAAGTTTTCCAACACTTTTGGAGATTCTATGCACACAATTGCCCACTAGTTGTTTAATCTGGAGTGGTTGGGAACTTCTGTTTGCTTTAGGTGAAAGCACCGCGCTCTTGGGTGGGGAGGGGAAGTGCTCCGGGCTGATCTCACCCGTTTCAGAGCACGGCAGGAGTCCCCAGCGCTCATTTTCCAATGATTTTTGCCAAGTTCAGGCTGTCCACCTTGGGGATACACACTCTGCCTTACCAGATATCTACAGTAACACTTCCAAAGCTCTTATCAATTTGCATAAAACCTGAGATTTTTTTGCCCCACATCTAATTCTTAGTAATTGTCATTGTCTTATTGCAATAATCATAGAATCACTGAGACTGTAAAAACCCTCCAAGATTTTCGAGTCCAGCCGTTCCGCCGGCACTGCCCAGGCTACCACTAACCCATGTCCCCAGGTGCCACATCCACACGCCTGCTAAATCCCCCCAGGGACGGGGACTCCACCACTCCCTGGGCAGCCTGTGCCAGGGCTTTCGGGGAAGAAATTGTTCTTAATATCTAACCTAAACCTACCGACCTCCGCACCTTTCGGCTGCTCATTTCTGACAGAAAAGCGGAGGCGAGGCTGACGGCGAGACGACTGCGGGGGCAGCGCGCCGGCGGGGCGGTGCGTGCGGCGGGGCCGCCCACGAGGGTGCCGGTCGTGGGCGCATCCCGGGGCCGCCCCGCTCTCCCGGACACCGCCGACCCGGCTCGTCCCAGCTCGCCCGCCGCCCCCCGGCCCGGCCCGGCCCGGCCCGACCCCCGCGGCCCCGCCGGCGCCCCCCGCCGCCCGTCCGCGGGAAGGCGGCAGCTCCCCGGGATATGCCCGGACACGTCCCGGCCAGGGGCTCCGCCGCGGCACGACCGCCCCGCATAACCCCGCCCGGCACCCCCAGGACCACGGCCCCGGTCTTCACATCCCCCGGCCCCCGCACTCCTCGGCCCGGTACTCCCGGCGTTCGGAGACGATCACGGAGCCGGCTGCAGTCCACGTGTATCGCTGCCGCCGCGCTGCCGGGAGCGGGACCCGCCGCGCTGCCGGGAGCGGGACCCGCCGCAGCTCCCGCCGGTCCCCCTGCCCCGCAACCGGGGTGACACCGGCACCGGAGAGGATCGGGACCGCCGCGGGCGGGCGGGCAGGTGCGCGGACCCCACGGCTCACCTGTGGGAGTACCGGTGCTGGAAGGACGGCGCGGACCGGGATCGGGCCGGCAGTACCGGCGGCACCAGGAGGACGTGGGTCCCAGGGCAGATAGCGCGGACCGGGACCGGACCGTCGATGACTCCACGGCCTCGCGTGGAGCGGAGCGGCTCGGAGCCCGTCCCGGGCACCGGGAGCAGCCCCCGCGCCCCGCCCCGCCGGCCCCATTGGCGGCGCCGCCGCCGGGGCGGGGCGAAGCGGCGGAGCGGGGGCGGCCGACAGCGGCGGGGCTGGCCCCGGGGCCGGGAGAAGAGGGGCAGAAGCCGTAGTGCCGCGGGGCGTCTGGGCAGGGCAGCGACGGGGCGTCCCGGGGCCGCCGGCCACGGTGTGAAACTGGAGAA